TATTTATTTGTACTTCAACATCATAAGCTAGTTGATTATGAACCTTTTTTATCCCAGACATATCAGTAAATATTTCTGCTTTATCTTGATCTATTGTATGAACTATTTCTGGACATTTTACAAAATATTTATCATGTATAATATTTTTTGTACAACCGGTGTCTACTAACGCTAATACTTCATAGGAGATATTAGACATTAATTTTATTTTTACAGGTACTTTTATTCCTATAATTTCTTTAAATGGTAATCTAATTATATATTTGCTACCAAAATTTATTATGGCTTCTTTTAACTGTACCACTTTATCATTTTTCTATTTAACATTGCTTGATCCTTTAACTCGGTAAGGCCTTTATAATTTTCATCTATCTTCAGCCTGTTCGCTTGCTCGTAAATGATCGTAAATTTCCAGCCAGGAACAGTGTTTTTCTCTCACACCAAACCAGCCAGCAGTAAATAATCCACGATACGATACGACCTCCCGAACAGGCTGCTTATTTGCTTCATTGAGTTATATTTTACTCTTTAGCTCTTCTAATTCTGCTTCTAAGCTATTTATTCTATTATCTAAATTTCTGACTCTGCTTGCTAATAGTTTATCTTCTGGTTTCAAATCTACTTCTTGTCTCCATTTTTGGTTATTGGTTTTTAAACATGAGGAACATGCTTCCTTTAAACATATGCTGCATGTGAATCTATTTTCCTGACTAGGATAATATATGCAGAAATCACATTTTATATTATAATCACCTCTTCCTTTTATCCAATCATGCTCACAGTCTTCTTGATTCATTAATTCTATTTATATTTCTATTGAACTATTAATATTTTCAGATATTATATCTAACCCTTTCATTGCATTATCTAGATTGCGTAACTCTTCATTATCTAAAGAGTCTATAAAATCTTGGTAACTCTGAACATTATTTTCTTCTTCTTCATAACTTTCTAATAAAAACTTATTATTAATCTTCCATTGCTCTTCTTCATTTGTAATGTATTCAATATTATTTATCTACACAACTTCTTTAACTTTACAAGTCTCTTTGTCTTTAGTTTTTAACTCATTTTCCTGTTTCTTTATCACAACAAGTGTTTTAAAATATTTATTCTTTAGTTCTCTATCTTTCTTGATATTATTAAGTCTATATATTTCTCGTCTAAAGAAGAGTTTCTTTTCTCTTATAGCAGACCATTCACATAACATAGACATATTATATTCATCAAGAATCTTACTTAATTTTTTCTCATAATATTGAATCTGACTATCTAAAGTTTCTATTATATGTAAAGTATTTGACCGAGGTTGTATTAGCAGACTTACTTATATTAACTACTAAATTTAAATAATATAGCTTTTCAAGCTTTAGTAAATCCCTTAATTCAAATTTTTAGTAACCAGGCTTTGATACCACTATTATAATTCGTGACACTATTCAAAATACTCGCTACTATTCAAATTCAGAATATGAACAGTGCACGAGCACTGACCCGGGAGTGGCTCAGGCACCCAAACTCTTTTGCAACTATTTGGAGCACTTGCTTTTTTTGCTACTATTTAGACGCTATTCGAAGCACTTATAGAGGATGGTGGATGCAGGACGCGTGTGTGATTAGTATGTGCGTGATTAGTGAATATGTGTATGCGGATTATGCTTCTCAGGATTTTTTCAAGCTGACGAGACTAATGTTTCAGCCGGTCGTGCGACCATGTTTATGTCAGTCCTACTCGGTACTCACCGTATGCATCACTAGCTCGCTTCAGAACCAGACTAATCCGGTCTTCTCTCTCGCTATCCCCAGCCACGCACACATATGACTCAAGCTCTATCGTCTCCCCAGACAGTTCCACCCGAAGGGAACACTTCTCTGCGCACACAGGGTTCTCTACAAACGCCGCCAGCAGGGCTAACACGAGAACAACACACGCAGAGATTTCTCTTCTAGGGTCCCTAGCATAGAGACATCGCCCTATATGAACGAGTTTAAAGGAAGACAATGATTAAAATAGAAAAGCTTAATTCATTTCCAAATAGCAAGCTTACATACGGCTTTCCCTTTCAGAAAACTCCAAACAGTTAACACAAACCTTAAGGATTACTTTACAAACGCAGGAAGATCACGGGGACTTCCTTTATTCTAATTTACAGATAGTGGTGAAGTAATATAACGGTAGTGGAGTATTACTATTCATGGTGGACGATCTTCATAGGACTTCTGAGGTCGCGGTCTTCATGGTGTATGTGGAAAAGTGGAGCGTTGGTGGAGTGGTGTCTTTAGTGGATGTGATGGTGGTGCATGAGAGTGCGGCGTCGAATCCCGATCTTCGCTTCTGCTTCTTCGCTCTTATAGAGCAGAAAGAGCCTTCTGGAGCGTCATTCATACTTATCTTCTGGAGTGCCTTCGAGACGAAGTCTTCAATTATTCTTCAATAGTTGTCCTAGCTACAGTGTCTTCCCGTGGTCTTCGGTCTTCCGTGAGCAGCCTCCCGGGCACTGGGGAAAAGCTTCTCGTCTAGTAAAGCCAGCAGGTAAGCTGTTTTCACACGCATGTTTATCTTCTCCAGCCAACTTATTTCCCGTACGTACGTCTTGAACGTGGGTTAGCTGTGACCGTCCGTAACACGGTGCTTTGTGTTTGCTACAGCCTCGCCTCGCAAAAATCCTCCGCGCCGCGCGTCGTCCACCGGCTCCACATGTGTTCTTCTCAAATCATGTTTACCTTTCCGTTTTATCCAACCGGCTCCACGTGCCACACGCACGGAAATGCACTACTCGTAGGAATAATAATCGGTAGCGATCATCGCCATGTTCGCTTGACTGGTTTAGATTATAAGCTATGGCTGAAAGTATTGTTGGTTTGTTTAATGTGAGAAAAAAATATTATTCGTTGACTGATAAGTTATAATTTATAAGCCAAATACGATCAAATCAGCAGATGAGAAGCAACAAAAGGGAAATACTAGAAGATGCTGGAATTGACAGTACAGGCCACTTGGAAACCGATAGGCCGTCCAGCTACTATAGGCTAATTAATCGGTAGTAGTAATTACTCGTGACAAATGAATATATATATATATACACACACTCATGACTCATGCATGATGCATCCCCTGATCCCCCTAACATTAATCCAAGCTGGCTGCTGGCCTGCCGCGCTAGCTGTGAAAACTATAGATAGCTTACGGGCTTTGACTGAACACCCAGTTCAACAGAAGCTATCATTCTTCGCTTGACCATCCATCCCTGACCAAATTCACAAGTCAGGACTACATGTATATGCCAACCGGTTTGCGAATGATGGTAGTATACTATATATCATCCTAGTTATCGATCGGTCATGATTCAGATGTGCTAAATGTTAGGTTGCGTTTGCAAATGATAATTCGGTACTGGCTGTAAACAGCCAAGTACGATTTGGGGTCTCGTTCGCTATTTCGGTTTGTTTTTTCAATGGAGCGAACGGGACCTGGGCTATTATTGGCACATGCACGCACGCATCACAGTCAGCCTACACATATCAGACCTCGCAATCGCTAAGACACGGAGAAGAAGTAGACATACACATACTACATGTGCGTTATTTTGAGCTGCAGCCTGGATGGCAGCCCAATCGGAATGAAGACGGGAGATTAGGATGCCGACAAGCGCACGTAACAGGAAGCAAAGAATCAGCGAAACGCTCACAAGTAGACAGACCGGTTGTAATAATAATAATGATATAATTAATCAAATGCTCCTGCCGAGTACTCTACTAATCAGCAGCAAGCCAAGCAGAAGATATTGAACTGGCCACTGCAACAGAGAGAGAGAGAGAGAGAGAGAGAGAGAATAGAAGGACTATTGGACAGGTAACCACGACGGCGACAGGTGCCGTAGCCGACAGCTGACCGCTGCGTTGGCGCCCGGGTGGATGCGGTGTAGGTGCCATCCCCCGGGCGCGCGGCTGCGCTCGCCTCGCCTGTGCGGCTGTGCCTCGTTGGTGCTGCCGTTACTGAGCTGAACCCGGCCGGCCTGGTATATAAGGCCGCATCTCCCCCATTCTCCCCCTCCCCGGACCCCGGATCGCAGGAACAGATAGACGGATACACGGTTCCGTTCCGTCGTCGTCTCATTGTCAGTCAGCCACAAGTTTCTCTTGTCGTCTCCTTCACCGACGATCGCGCGTTCCTACATCAGGCGGTCAGGTGAGCCTCCTCGCCGCCTTGCGCGTTGTTGTTGCCGTCCGTATCATCAGTTCATCACAGCTTGCTTGGTTTTCTTCTGGTGTCCGGGCTTTGATTCGCGTCGTATGGGTATCTCGGGTAGGGTACCGTGCCTGGTTCTCGATGAAGACACTGTGCCAATCATGGGGGGAAAGGAAATTCAGATTCGCAACACTATCTGTATATTGCTAATGTATATATGTCAGCAGTTACTGCCGAAATGCATGCATGATCCAGCTGAGCAACTGCCATTTTCCTCCTTTCATTTTAAGCTTTATGAATCTCGACTTGCCAGCACAATTCACATGGGCCATGCGTCCAGGTAGACATTCCTGAAATGAGTACAAGACCGGCACGCTTATTAGCCGTTGGAAGGGGCACGCAAATTTGGGCTGCCAAAAGCTATGAATGGACCTGGATTTTCTGCTGTTTATCCCCCATTTCCAGGGGAAGATTCTGCCTTTTTATTTGCATTCGTTTATTTTTTGAAAACGAAACATGCAAGCGGTCCAAGCAATGTGGAGTTGTCCTTTTCAAATCTCAACCAGAATGTGTTATAGAGTAGGGAAGGCCTCATCATTGTAACCACGAACTCCTGCTTTTTTTTTCTTCAGATTCTTCCAGATGCTTATTTCCCCCTTTTCTCTGAATTATTTTACCAGGGTGGAACATCCTGCACGGAATCCGGATAGCCACTGGCCACGTATTCAGGAGACGTCTGAAATCATCCTTCAGCTAGCGTTTGTCAATCAAGCAGATCAACAAGGGCTTAATCCTACTAATTCAGACGAGGATGGGTTTCTTCTCATTGTTTCTTGTGGCTTCTATGCCAGTCGTCCAGGTCCTGCTCATAGGTGCCATTGGAGCTTTCCTGGCTTCCGGTTTCAGCAACGTTCTGACGACCAGTGCTCGAAGGGATATGAACAAGGTGAGCTCTGTCCCAGTTTTCCACACAACGTTTTCACAGCTAGCTTTGGTGAACGTTGTCAGAACCTAATCTCAGTTAAATTGCTGACAGGTTGTTTTTACTGTATTCACCCCATGTTTGATGTTCGCCAGCCTCGCGAAGACGGTCACGCTCGCGGACGTCATTTCTTGGTGAGTAGTAGTACGCATCATCGTATTTTTCAGAGCCTTGAGGAAGGAAGTAGTACTGAACAGAGTCATTGAAAGTCTGTACTTTTATATTTGTAAGTATTCTAAGCGCCCTAATGAACACACGCCTTCTGTTCTTCAGGTGGTTTATGCCAGTTAATATAGGGATCACGTTCATGATTGGTGGCACTCTGGGTTGGATAGCTTGCAACATCTTGAAGCCACCACAGCACTTTAGGGGCTTGATCATGGCCTTCTGCTCAGCAGGTTCAGTTTCGTCAGTGGAAGTTCATGTTCCATTCCTCTTCGGCTAGCCTTCATATATGCACAACAGAAATCAACAATGGCCTCTACTAACAAATGCAGGAAACCTTGGAAACCTGATACTCATAATTGTCCCGGCTGTATGCGACGAAGATGGGAGCCCGTTTGGGAAAGATCCAAGCATTTGCCGCTCACGCGGTCTCTCGTACTCGTCCTTGTCCATGGCTGTAAGTTTTCCTTTTTTTTTCTTCTTCTTTTGGATCCATCAAAGGGCTACCTATCTTCTTTGTTTCACAGATATATATACATACATACATACACAAGTCTAGTTTACCAGTTTGAGTGTTCTTGCATTCGGCAGCTGGGTGGGATTTTCATATGGACACACACGTACAGCCTCATGCAGAAGTCAGGTAAGCTGTATCACAAGATGCATTCCAAAAGCATCCAGTGCCCAGCCGACAGCGACGAGGAGCATTCAGCTGCCGACGCTGACGAGGAGGCACCTCTTCCGACGTCAATTAAGCCTGGCGAGCACGAGCACGAGCACGGGGAAGAAAACCAAATTGTAAGTTACTCCCTCCGTCCCTAAATGTCTGGCGTTTTCGTTTTCCGAGAAACAACTTTGACTAAATATATATTTAAAAAATATTAATATTCATGATATGTAATTAGTATCGTTGGATAGATATTTGAATCTAGTTTTTTAATAAATTTATTTGGAGATAGAAATGTTGCACGTATTTTCTATAAATCGAGTCAAAGTTATTGACACGCAAATCATGGCGACAAACATTTATGGACAGAGGGAGTAGTTTACAACAGTGTTGACTGCATGCATCGTCGGCCATGGTCGTTTCTTCACGTGGCGTCTTCAGACAAACTGACTTGCAAGAAATGGTAATGCAGGAGGCCCCTCTCTTGTCCTGTGAGAGCGAGGTCGCTGACAAGGGGTTCTGGACGAATCTGAAGGACGCTGTCCACAAGTTCATCGAGGAGCTGATGGCGCCACCCACCATATCCGCAGTATGTTTCAGTTTCAGCATTTCTGGCTTCTCACTTCACAGTGGCACGTAGTTGGAAGGACCAAATCTGATGATGTGATGCTGCATCTTGGGTCAGATAATTGGGTTTGTTGTTGGCCTGGTCCCATGGCTAAAATCCCTAATCATCGGTGACGGAGCTCCTTTTAAAGTTGTACAGGATTCCCTCCAGCTGATGGGGTAAGCACATAGAAGTATTTCATTTTGCCGAGTGCTGTCTGTCTCTGCCAATACCTCTTCAGGTTACTCATGGTTTGTTTGTTTCTCTTGCAGCAATGGCGCGATTCCTTGCATCACCCTCATCCTAGGTGGAAACCTGACTCAAGGTGGGTGCTATTTTGATCAGACTCAGCGGCGATCCAGTATGTCCACCACCTGGACGGCCGTGTTCTGAAACTGCTCTGAAATCTGAATGTGCGTGCAGGGCTTCGGAAGTCGGGGCTCAAGCGTAGGGTGATCGTCACGATCCTGTGCATCCGCTTCGTGCTCCTCCCCCTGATCGGGATCGCCGTCGTCCACGCCGCGTACGGGCTCGGGTTCCTCTCTCGCGACCCGCTGTACCGCTACGTGCTGATGGTGCAGTTCGCCGTGCCTCCTGCGATGAACATCGGTACGCGCTGGAATTCTGAAACCAATCAATGGCGCTCTGTTCCTGCTATGTTTGGCAGCTTGTTTCCTGAGACTTGTGTAATTCAGGAACCATGGCTCAGCTGTTCGACGTTGGACAAGAGGAATGCTCCGTGATCTTTCTCTGGACGTACCTCGTTGCCGCGGTTGCGCTGACGACGTGGTCGACGATCTTCATGTCCATTCTGTCTTGATTGAATCCAACGCCGGAACCAACGCGCGGTCGCATTTCTGAGCCTGGTGCTGCTCAAAACATTCAGCTTAGCAAGAGGCAAGGAGGAGAGGAGGGGATGATGATGGGTCTCAAGTAGAGCCAGTCGGAGCAAGACTGCAAGAGCTAAAACTACCTGTTTAGAATATATACATAGGCAGTAGGCTATGATCCAATGATCATTTAGGTAATTATTTATTATTGTATTGTGTTGGGCTGATGGGCTGACCTATTAGTCGCCGATTGGCATAGTTCAAACAATCATGAAAGTGGAGGGTTCCATTTTTGTTCCATTTATATCTAACTTATAATTTTAAACCCCACTAGAATTCTACCTCGACATATGTAAGACATCCACCTCAGCAGCCCAATAACGCATGCAACGTAAGCTATCCACATCAGCATACCACACTACCCGCTAAAATTCAATTTCGCGATTCCCACAGTAACGGAGGTATCCTTCTAGTTGTAAAAGAGAATGAAGCTAGCTATGTACGTGGCAGTCTCATCCAAACCATATCATTCACTAACATGCATTTATTTTTTACAATAATTAATGAGAACTACAATTAATTAATTGTATGGAAATAAATATTTTTAAAAAATGTATGCTTAAAAAAGAGTTGTTGTTTTTTTAAAAAAGAAAAATGTGTGCCTAAAAAAGAGTTGGTTTTACTCTCATTAATTATTTTAAAAAATTATTTTTTCCATGTCCATGATTTACTTTTATTTGATATATTCTATGAGATACTTGTGATGTTCTTATAGTATACATGATGTCTATGATTTGTGTTGGGATGTTCACTTTGTATAAATTACTATAAAGCAATGCACGGCGTTGCCACGCAACAGCACGTGGTTCCACATATGGAACCAGTTATATATACATCTATAATACTAGAACAAATCTGAAATTATGAGGTATTTGTTAAGATATAATATATGCGTCGTATATGTGAGTTAGGGTTAGTAGCATTAGATCTGTCCAAAGGATTTATGTGAAATAGTTTTCTAATATGATCATAGGATACCATCACCATGAAACTTAAGTCTGTTTAAAAATTCAAAACTCAAAACACATCCTTCTCCGCGTGAGGCAGCTGGATCGACTTGCACATCTGCACCAAATGTGCAGCACACGGTGAGCCAGCCCTTCTGTTGACTTGTGTGTACTCTGAAACCTGTACATATCCTGTTCTTATGCTTCTTAGGTAATGTACTTGTTAAGTGCCTAATTTAGATCCTAATCATAATTAGGTAGTATTATTATGTCCTCAATAGATTAGTTATAGATGTTAGATTGATCTCTAATCCCAAACTGGACCCAACGGCCCAGTTGAGCCTTTGATCCGCGCCCTGATCGAGGGCGCCCAGCCCACTATGGCTGGAGGGCCCCTGTCACACTGCACAATAAATAGAGATGGGGCCGGCGGCTCTGAGTACGAAGTTCGCCTGAGCTACAATTCTCCACCGAAATCCCTAATCCGATCTAGAGGGGCACGACCAGTGACGGGAAGCCACCAGCCATGTCGCCACCGCTTCTGCATATACACCGAGGGGCTGCTACGTCGCCGGGCTGCCTTGCAACCGGTACTGCACCGCCGCACTTCGACTCGACACCGCCAACGGGTTATCACCAAGCACTGCGATGGCGAGCCCATCTTCATCTAAGGCGTCCGAAGGTTTGCACCCTTCACCCCTCTCTTTCTCTCGTTCTATCTACTGCTATTGCACTAGTAGATGTTCTAGGACTCATGGTTTTATTCAATAGCAAGTAGACATGCTAGTTCTATGCCTAGAAATCCTGCTTAGGGTCTAACAATGGTACAAAAGCCTAACTAGGTGTAGATCTAGCCTATCAGAATCCTCTGTCTAGATGTAGATCTGTCAGGGGTAAGAAACAGAGTAGATGCGTTCGGATCTGAGAAAAGAAGAGGGTCACCGAACCCTAACCCTAATTGGGTGAAGAACAGAGAAAAGAAAGGGTCTCGGATCTCAAAGCCGAAACCTAACCCGCGAATCAGTCACGGGGAAGAACAACAGTGAACAAAACCCTAACCCTAACCAAACCCTAATCCCCAAATCGGACAAATCCGAGAAGAGAAAAAAAGAAAATCAAAGTCAGGAGAGGGAAAGGGGAAGAGGGTAAGGGGCTTATCTCACAGATCTCGAATCAAAATCGAAAGAAAAAAAAACGAATCAGGAAAAGAAACCCTAACCCTAGAAAGAGAAAGGGGACGGTAGAGAAGGGGCTTCCTACCTGGGGCCTGGCCGTCCCGTCTTCGCCGCCGGCCATCTCCATGGCCGGCGCGTGGGATGAACCAGAGGCGCCGACCGAGTAGGTCACGCCACCGCGTGGCTCCGCCTCGGGCTTGGGTGTCAAGGGCACCGCACCGCAGCCCTTCGACGGCGATGAGCTCACCCTCGGGTGGACGCACGCACCGGCGAAGGGGCGCGCGGTGGCGCCGCCACTTCCTCCGGCCGCCATGGCTGTTGCGCTGCTCCTTCTCTCTACGGCGCTGAGGAGGAAAGAGAATGGAAACGAAGAAAATGAGATAGGGTTTCGGGGAGGCCGCCGCGCCGGGGTTTTGTTCGACCGATGCGCACGCTCGGCCGTCGGATGAAAGCGGACGCCTCAGATTGCTTGGCGGTGGCCCAGTGGGCAACCTGTGTGTCCATGGCAGTTTTTGCCCAGCCGAGTTGCGACTGGTGCGGAGTAGCAGCAGCATAGCGAGTGGGTCGGGCCGTTTTGTCGGCTGGGCTAAAAACAACATGTTCATTTTGAATCAATTTTTTGTTTTTCTTTTTCCAGTAAATATTTATTTCCTAGAAAATGGATAAATGGCTTAAAGTAAATAGAAAAGAGAATTTTCCTTTGGGTAAAATTTATTAAATTGAATTATTTTTCCGCTGCAATGTTAAAGTTAATGATCTTCTAATTAAATTCGAACCAACGGGAGAATTTAATTTGAAGAGTAGTAAATTTTAATCAGTAAATTATAATATTATTATTTTTTGACCAACGTTGATAATAGCATTATTATAATGTTCTATACATTAATTCTATTTCTGCCCAACGGTGATGTAGAATTAGTGTAGAAGAACAGTTGTATGTTTTAATTTTGACCAACATTGGAACTAAGGCATACAATTGTTGTTATTATTTATGTTCTCACTCTATATGAATTATGTTTTCAGGCGGATACAACTTGATGGGTTGTATCAAAGAGATCCCCACTCTTAAAGGTGACAACTACACGGAGTGGAAGAAAAAGATTGACCTAGCCTTCATCTTGGCTGAGGTGGACTGGATAGTCACCTCACCGTGTCCCACTGAGCCTGTGGCACCGGTGAGGGAGACAAACGAGGTTGATGCCGCTTGGGCAACTAGAGAGAGGGATTTTGCATCCTAAAAGATGTCCTATGACCTTGAGCATAGGAAGTGGGTCACTGCCAACAAGAAATGTTTGGCTATGATAAAGAACACGATTAAGCCTGCAATTGTGGACTCAATCCCAGAGTGTGACACGACCACCGAGTACCTCGATAGAATAAAGAGTCAGTTTACTGTCTCTTCAAAGACATATGCTACCCAGCTGATAAAGCAGCTGGTGACAGAGAGGTACTCTGGAAATGGTGGCATAAGAGAGCAGATACTAAGGATGAGCAATTTGGCATCCAAGCTAAAACCAATGGATCTGGCTCTCAAGGAAGAGTTTCTTATCCATCTAATTTTTGCTTCCTTGCCAAAGGAATTTGACACTTTTGTTGTCAATTACAACATTCAGCCCGAGAAGTGGGACTTAGAGAGGCTCATGGCTATGTGTGTGCAAGAGGAGGAGAGAATAAAAGCTGCCAATGGTGGCACTATCAATTATGTGAAAGATAGAAAGAAAAAGAATAATAATGCTAACTCCTCCTCAAAGCCAAAGTGAAAGGGTCCCATGCTGCATCAGCCTCAGCAGAACAAGTTTAAAGTAGAGAAAGACCAGTGTCTCTATTGCAAGAAAACGGGACATTATAAAAAAGATTGTCCCGATTACTTAAAGATGATCATGGCAAAAAAATGTGAGAACATTATTACGTTCATAAATGAATCCCTGTATGTATAGTATTCGAAATCTACTTGGTGGATTGACTCAGGTGCAACTGTTCATGTTGCTAATTTCTTATAGGGATTCCGTTCGACGATGACTGTGCAAAGAAGAGAAAGACACGTTAAAGCTGTCAATGGAGTCCGAGCAGATGTCGAAGCCGTTGGCGATCTTTCTCTAGAGCTTGCTGATGGCTTCACACTTTTACTTAGAGACATACTTTTTGTTCTCTCTTTATAGAGAAACTTGATTAGTGTTTCATGCTTGGACAATGATAGATATGATTGCCATTTTAGAAATGGCAAATGTAAGATAACATTTAATAATACATGTGTTGGTCTTGCTATCTTACAAAATGAGCTTTATTTGTTATCACTACGTGATGATGTGAATGTTGTATGCGATGATGGGAACGTTGCGTGCGACAATGAGAATGTATCCTCGTTTGCGGATGTAAACAGAAAACAAAAGAGAGCTCACGATGCATTGTTGAAATTATGGCACTGTCGTTTAGGCCATATTTTGAGGGGGAGAATAGAAAGGCTAGTTAAGAATAATATTCTTTCTCCATTAGAGTTCTCAGATTTAGAATAATGCAGAGAATGCATAAAAGGAAAGTATGTAAAGGAAATTAAGAAAGATGCCAAACGAAGCACATAAATTTTACAGATTATTCACACAGACATCTGTGGTCCGTTTCCTGTAAAGAGTGTGGATGGTTATGATTCATTCATAACATTCACAAATGATTACTCCTGTTATGGATACATTTATCCGATCAAAGAAAGAACATATGCATTGGATAAATTTAAGATATTTAAGGCAGAAGTTGAAAACCAACACAATTTAAAGATTAAGATAGTCAGGTCCGACCGTGGGGGGAGAGTAC